CTCCTGCTCCTCCTTCTTCTCCTGCTCCGCCTCCTCCTCCTCCGCCTCTTCATCCTCCTCCTTCGCGTCCTCCTCATGGTGCAAACACAAACAACCTCATATGTATTAACTCCTGGAGACAAAGGCCACGGGATTTATTCACACATGGACATTTGCAAGGCCAGAGCACGCGCGGGAGGGCTTGAGTCAGCGCGGCCTTGGCCAGAGCAAGCCGGGACATTCCTGAGTCGCAGAAGAGTCTCCTCCCCAGCCCGTGCGCGGTCCCCACGATACTGGGAAGCTGGGCATCTTGCTTTCTGCCACATTTGGCACTGGAACATGCTGCATTGTGGACGCTTGTGCATTAACGGCACAACACCTGAGTGCGCTTAAATAGGCCGAACGATCCCTGCTGGCTAAGTCTGCAAGTCGCGGCCGGTTTCACCCTTACGTGATTCTCTTGTACAGCTTTTATTGTTTTCTCAGTTCTTACTGGGACCGAGTGCAGCAACTGCTGTCTTTGAGGTCCACGCCAAAAAAATCGTAATCAGAAAGCCGCAGGGCACATCGGCAAAATCCCTTGGAATGATCTCCGCAAAGCGTCCATCCAATTGTCTCACCTTGTGGTTGTCTTTCTTTGCACAGTTCATTTTGTTTTTGGCTTTCTTGCAGTTCTTGCTGGAACCGAGTGCAGCAACTTGGTGTCGTTGAGGCCCGCCCACGCCAAAAAAAAAACTTCCAGTTCCCCTCCAGTTGGAACACTTTGGCGGTTCGAACCCGGAGTTCCAACACTGGTGTTCTAACCGAGGGTTCGAACTCGTGTTTGAACTCCGTTCGAACACTGGTGTTCGAACACCGTATTTGAATTGAGGTCTCGGGGTTCAAACACTTTCCTTTTCTTCACAAGAAGCCCATAAAGCGATTCAGTGGCTTCTCCGCTTTTGTATTTGTAAAAGCGTTTTTTCGACCAGTGTTCGGAGTTTTAACTCTGGGTTCAAACACCAGTGTTTGAACTAGAGGTTCGAACACTGGCCGGTGTTCGAACCCGGAGTTCGAACACTGGTGTTCGAACACCAGTTTTGAATTTGAGGTTCGAACACTGGTGTTCGAACTTTGGGTTCGAACACCAGTGTTTGAACTCGGGGTTCAATCACTGGTGAATGTTCCTTCTCTTTTTCTTTTCTTCGCAAAAAGCCCCAAAGAAGCGATTTCGTGTGGCTTCTCTGCTTTTGTGTTTGTAAAAGCCTTTTATAGACCAGTGTTCGCAGTTTGAACGGGTTCGAACACCAGTCTTTGAACTCGAGGTTCGAACACTGGCCGGTGTTCGAACCCGGAGTTCGAACACTGGTGTTCCAACCTAGGGTTCGAACACTAGTGTTTGAACTCCGGGTTTCGAACACTGGTGTTCGAACACCAGTATTTGAATTTGAGGTTCGGTTCGAACACCAGTGTTTAACTCGGGGTTCAAATGCTGGTGAATGTTCCTTCTCTCTTTTTCTTTTCTTCGCAGAAAGCACCCATAAAGCGATTTCGTGTGGCTTCTCTTCTTTTGTGTTCGTAAAAGCGTTTTATAGACCAGTGCGCGAACCCGGAAATCGAACACCAGTGTTCGAACTCGGAGTTTGAACACTGTGTTCGAACCCGGAGTTCAACTCCGGTTCCAGGTGTTCGAACTTGGGGTTCAACCCTAAGTTCCCCCCCCCGGGCCCTCCCAAGTGTTCGAACCCAGGGTTCCGGAACACTGCAAAAACCTATGCTCTCCACCACCAGGACCGCACGTTTCCGCCCTTGCGAGACCCGAACAGGTGGGAAGCTGGGATCATGCGGTTTATGTGTGCAGGATCACTTGCCTCTCGTGCGGGTGCGGAGTTGAATCGGCGCCGGCTGACCATGTTATGCGCGCCATTTCTCACCACCACAGGACACGAGGCAATGCGTGCGCCATTGCGCGTCATCTGGAAGCGGAGCTTCTGAGTAGCCGCTGTTGGTTGGCGCAGGGCACTTTATGGCTGAACGTTTGTTGGCTAAGTCTGCAAGTCGCAGCCTGTTTCACCCTGTTTATGGTTGTTTCTTCTTTGTACAGTTTTGAGTTGTCATTGCATTCTTGCGCATCTTGTAGTTCTTACTGGGATCGAGTGCAGCAACTGCTGTCTTTGAGGCCCGCCCACGCCAAAAAATCCTCTCGGAGGGGTCCGTGAGCTGGATCCGACGTTGGCGCCAGGAGAAGTCACAACGGTAGCACAAGCTACGGCCGCAATTCATCGACCGCCGCCACGCGGCGCTTGGTCCTTTGTTGACATCACGACCACGGCTTGCGCAGGATCCGCAGGGGCCGTCAACGTGTGCATTGTGGACCGTGGTAGTTTGGAAAGCATGCAGCACACGGTTGACCAGGACGAGGCGTTGACGGTTTTCGTGCCATCTGGCTCAAGCAAATCCGAAGACGTGAGATTGCAGTCATTTGTCCAGCGTATGGCGTGCGCCGCTGCAGAGTATTCAGAAATTTTGCTACCATTGGAAAGGCTTGTGTGGCGCACACGTGTTCGACTCGAACATGAACCCGTCCAAATCTGTCAAAATGCAGGTCGAGACAAGGTCTGGGAAACTTAGAAGTTGCCTTGTGCAACATTTCGTTTGCTCTCCAGAGTCAGAGCAAGCGGCATTTTGTGCGATTCCAAAAAGAGCTGGTAGTGGCGCCGGCGCCAAAATGCAGGCCCCAAAAGCAACCGTGTCACCGCTTCTCTTTGTTGCAGTAGGTGCCTGTTACAACTCGTGAAGTTTGTTTGTCGACTGGGAGAGCTTTGTGAACATGTGGTTGCAGCTTTTCAAGGTTTTGAACTTGGTTGTGACGGTTTCGAAGTTTTTCGTTTTCTTCTTGAAGCAAGACTTTGGACTCGAACAATTTTTTTCTCGTTCAAACAGAAGATTCATTACGGCACATTTGAGAGTCTGCAAGAGTCTGAGGTTTCAGTTTTGTTTTGGCGTCTACGGGCTTGGAGAAGTTCCATGTGTTTGACTGCTGCAAACTAACTATGAGCTTTTGCAACGAAGAATCCATGCTTGTGATCAATTCGGCCGCATCGAAGCGCAGGTCTGCATCATTGTTGGGCAGTTTGGCAAACACATATCCAGCTTGGTGTTTTCTGTTGTGGTTCCAGTTGCGGAGTGCGACAGCTTTTGGACGAAAGTTTTCCCCGTTCTTTCTGCGTGGCTCCCGCAGTCACGTGCACTCCAGAACAATTTGCACTTGAGGTAGAGTGGCTTTTTTTGGTCTCTATTCATGGCACTCGTCTCGCATTGACAGCTCACAAGCACATTTGTGGCAGCGAAGACATGGATTGGTCGGCGCATGTCTCCGCGCATCACCGATTGGAGCTACCACTGCGTCTTCAGCGAAAAATCCGGCCATTATGCTCTCTAAGTTTTTGAGAGCAGGACATGGAAGCATTTTCAAAGGCATTTGCAACTTTCACTGTCCGTCTTCGGAATCTTGTTTAAAGTTGAGGACCAAGTCGGCCGATGCCGTCAAGATCTGTCCAAAAAAAGCCATCGAGATCGGCGGACGCCCCAAATAGTGAGTAGCTGTGGTCTCAAACGTCATCTGGAAGGAGCAGGAACTTGGCTGCTCGCTTCGTCGAGTTAATTTGACGGAACAAGGTTGAGGAAGTCGCTCATTGTCCGACGGGATTAGAACGACGGTCAGAGCCTTGTTTTCCTTCTCTTAGGGCAATTAAAACTGTTGGGTAGACGACTGAATGGCTTATGCCGGCGAGTTTGCTTCACAGTCATTGGGTCTTTGAGCTTCATTTCTGTCTTGTCGTCATTTCGTGGTTTAGTCAGGGACTGAGTGCAGCTGACGCTGTCGACGAAGTCCGCACAAGCCAAAAAAATACCGAAGCTTGTGACGTACTTGCCATGAGGATTGATGTTCTTGCTATGCGGCTGGAGCTTGCTGCATTGCGCAGCGCTTCTAACTTTTGCGTACTTTGGCCGTAGCCTGTCAAAACATGTTTTGTTTTCCCAGTTTAGTATGCCGTCATGCTAGCTTAGCGGGAGAGAAGACTCGAAGGAGAAACGCAGAACATGCGTCTGAGTGTGAAAGTCACATGTCGTTTCAAACTCAAGGTGTTATGCCAGAATCCGGGTCTTTTTAAATGCCAATCGGCACCAAGTTTGCATCCAGCATTGTCGTCGAAAAAGTTTTGGCATCAACGAAAGAAGATGGACGTGCCAAAACTACATAGTCAAACTCATGTCACTGTCATCATATCATTTGACGGTTTGACGTGTACCGTCTGCCTTTCTGGTTCCATCAGCGGTAATGAGCAAGAGCTCTGGTTGTAGCTTCGGGGTGAAGCATGAACTCACATCCAGTTTAGTAGGGTTCAGGCAGAATGTCAAGACGCAGTTGCGACAAAACAACCGAGAGGCAAGTGCCATAAGAGAGGTTCATGTCTGGTCTCTAGGGTAAGGGGCCTTGGCTTGCACTTTGCCGCGTGGCATCTAGTCCGACACTCGGTGCTGCCACGAATGAGTTTCTTGAACTTCGGCTACATCATGACAAAAGGGATCCATCATGTTCTGAATCTCCCCGCTCAAGAGTGAGAACCGCTTGATGGCCACGGTTGGTGTTGGGGGTTGACAAGTTGGAAGTGTGCAAGGCAAGGATCAGGCGAAGTTTAATTCGGTTCTAGTCACCACAAACCACGAAGCGCGCCCAAAATCAAGTCGCGCCCCACCTTAACCACAGAGCCCCATGCAAAAGGTTACCATTCGTTTTGAAGATGGAACGCAGTTGGGAACTCAGACTGCCACGGCCTGGCTGTAAGTCTTCCGGATGGCAGAGGGAAGATGACGAAGCTAAGCAAGCTCGGTTTCAGAGTTTGGAGGGTTGGACGTGCGGATGTGTTTATTCACTTCGTCTGCTTGTGATACGTGTCAGGCTACCGAACCTCCGACGCTGCACTCCCCTTCAGTTTAGTCTGGGGTGGATTTCATGAGGTACCACCGGAGAGGCGGAGATGGAGGTGCGCTGCGCTGCTCTGCCGTACTGCGACTAATCGCCTTAAAGGGTTGAAGCCACGCAGGCTTCGAACTCGAAGTGGGCGTAGAAAGACCTGCGAACAGGTTTAGAAATCCGGAAGCTTGCCGAAGCGAGGTATTGTCATATTATAGTCCCTATCCAATGGCTACACGTGATCGACCGGCTGACATCTCCACAGCGCTTCGGAGCTTCGGCTTGAAATTCTGCTCGCCTGCACACCTGGATCTTCCAGAGGTGGATGATGTGGAGTGCAGCAAGTCGGCCATCAACCAATGGTCCGTCGTCAAGCCGTTTGGCGGCTGCTGGAGACCCGGTATTGTGCTTTGCTCTGTTGTGCTTCTGTGTTGCATATCGGGAGTTCGCAAAAGGCTCATGGATTTTTGAATTTTGAGCCTTCCAAGTTTGGGGTGCTAGGGTTGGAGACATTGGGGAATTTACACACAACGCAAACTCTACAGGGTTTGAGTGGATGGCACAGTCCTGACTTCCGATCTTTTGGAACCCCGCAATTGGCGAACTCAGTCTGGGCATGGGGATGTGGGGAGTTTCCGAAATTAGGGGTACCTTATTTTGGGGTCCCTATAAGAGGGATCCTATTATATAGGGTAATATATCAGGGTCCCTTTATTTTCGGAAACCCCCATGGGCACCTTCCGGACAAGAGAGTCTCCAAGCAGACTGACGGGGTAAATGGAGCACTCACGTTGCTGGACTTGTGCCCCTTTTTGCGGTTTCAAAGCAGACTCTATCCAAACCCCTGATGCATACTTCATCTCTTGACCCTGACTCAGAACTGCATTGCAGATGCTTAATTCAATTGTACGGTCCACAGCACCTTCAAGAACGTACGGACTGTCCGAAACCCTGAGCGCCAAACCGACCCTTGCCAGCAAGCTGTAGTGTCTGACTTGGGTGTTCACTGCAGCATTTTTGGAAAACCCGAAGAACCTCAGAGCACTTTGTAGTTGTGTAGTTTAGCCCGGGGGTGAGCTTTCATAGGAAAGTGTCCTTTGGTGAACTCGAGCTCGAACGTGAACGGGTTCTTTCCGTTGACTTGGGCCTGGAGTTGAGCACTCGCTGTCACTGCAGCGACATTCAAGATCTTCCCAAAGAAGCCAAAGTAAAGGCTGCATCTGCTCTCGGATAATGCTCGCTGCTAGCTTCGACGAATGCAAGCCTGCTTTTGGAAGCCAGGCCAGCCGCCGAAGCAGCGATCGCTGCACGCGAGCATCGTCGTGGGCGATTGCCTCTACATCTTTGGAGGGTGCTCTGCCCAGGGGTTTCCACATGCCGCACCACTTCTTTCATGGCGTTTGTTTTTTCAACAGATGTCACCTTCCAATGCAGAGGTACGATGGTAGCAGCAGGGTGAACGACTTCTACAAGTTCAGCTTCAAGGAGCCATCCGAGTTCTCGCATGACCAAGCCCTCAGCCCCAAAAGCATTCTCCTGAAGTTCAGCTCTTTCAGCAGAGCATGAGCGTTCTTCGCTAAGTGGAACTCGACGAGTCATGGCGCAGGCTTGTGCATCTGTGAGATTGACATTGCAGCTCTGAGCTTCCAGGCTTCGAAGTGGTCGCAGATTCACCCCGCAGGTGGGCCGAAGGGCTCAGGGTCTGGGATAAAGTGTCTCCATGACACGTGCACCAACAGGCTGTGGTTCTTCTCAGCACGCGAGTTGTTCAGTCCGAAGACGTGTCAGGCACATCTTGTCAGAGGTTCGCGTAGCAGAGGTCTTGTGCACCTGACAACCCTCCAGTGTCGGTGCAACGGAGCTCGCGAGCAAACAGAAGAAGAGCATTGTGCTGCCCATGGCATGTTCCGAATCCCTACGCAGTTTCAAGGCCGAAGGAAGCCCAAAGCCCTGGCAGCAAACGGAGCCTGAAGCCACTCCCCCTAAACGCTCCCCAAAAGCCTGATCCTCGTCTTTCAGAGACCTCAGCTCCAAAGTCTCTGCCTCTCGAGCTGTGCAGGGAGTAGCCCGACGGCACGTGACCGGCACGTTGTTGTGTGGGGCGCCCAAAGGGGACATTCTGCCACCGGCGCTTCTCTCGTCGCTTGTTGCTGTCGCTGCTGCCGCCTCCTTGATGTTTCAAGCTGCAGTTCCGCCGTCGTGTGGTTGAGGGGCCTACGATACTCCACTCTTCCCTTGAGGTCTTATGCCGACAAAATCTACATCTTCGCTGGCTACGACGGCAACAACCGTGTAAACGACTTCTGGCAGTATGATACCGAGCACGAGGCATAAGCCAGAAGTTGTGCGAATTATGGACACAATGCAGCTCATAATTATGCACATATCTACGTGGGGGATCTGTGGGGGGAGGGGGCCTTTAATAGGGCTTTTCGTCTTGCGTGGGCGTGTGTCCGTTCAGCAGAGCCCAGAGACTCCAATAGTCCAATGTCCCTTAATTAAGGAATATGCCTGAACATATAGTAGGATCCTTAATATGCTTTAAGGTATAAATTCCCTATTGAAGGGATAGTGGAGTCCCTTAAATCCTAAACCCTGTAGATCCCTCTCTAGGAGCGCTTAAAGGAACCCTTCTAGATCCCTTCTCTCGACCCCAAAAAGGAAGGGATCTTGGAGTCTTTGGGAGGTGTGGAGCACGGTGGACCCGGCCCTGGGAAACCCACCGACTCCACGCCACAGCCGGATCCCCAGTGCTCTTCATGTGGGTGGTTGTCAAAATTAGGGTCCCTTTGTGGGTACCCTAAATATGAGGTGCCGTATTATAATAGGTACCCAAAAAGGGACCCTAATTTTGACAACCACCCGTGTGTTCTCGTGGCACTTTTTTTGGGAAGGTTCTGGTTTCTGATCGCGGCTGTCGACTACTTAACTAGTTGTGTAGGCCTTGCATCGCGAGCTTTCTAGTGAGCGTGATTGGGTCCTGAAACCCTGACCTAGCTACCTCAGATCTCGCGAGGATTTGTTTTCATGGCAACAAGGCTCTTGTGTGGTTCTGCAAAGCCTGAAGTCCAAACATCGGATGCTCACTGCGGCAGATCCATGACCGCCGGAACCCATCACCCTTCTTCCCTTAGCCTGAAGCTCCACAGGCACAACGCCCTCATGCCCAGGCCACTCCGGTGTGGAATACGATGGCTCCATGTACATTTTCGCGGGTTACGATGGGAACTACAGGACCGAAGGGACCGGAGGAAGCATGAACGACGCTGTTTGGAGCGCAGTGTGCGCTTTAGATGCGATGCGGTAGCTGTTGAAGGCTTGGTGGTCCCCGAAACTCGTAGCACCGGGTCTCCAGTTCATCTGTGCACCCTCCAGCCTAAAGCTAGCGGGAGGCGCGTTTTGGTAAACTTAAACTAGGGCTCCACATGCGTTGGATTCGTTCAAGGTTAAGGCCAAGAGCATACTCTACAATAGGTATATTGGATTATAAGAGGGTTTGTTGCAAACCAGTGGAGCTCGGAACTTGTGTGATATCGGGCCTCGTCTGGAGCTCTGGCGGAAATCATTCGGTGTTTGATGCCTGACGCATGTGATCGTTTGCTGTAAGTGGTAGGATCCAATTTTGAGGTTTGAAGTACCATCCTGAGAACATCAAGCCGCATGAGTGCTGTCATCGCTGTCCCGTTCGTGCTATTCAAGGAGCGATTTTCACCGCTACAACTTCCCGCAGCGGAAGTGGCCCAAAGCTCAAAAACCTGGCTTCCCAGCACGTAGCTTTGGATAGCCTTTGGCCCGATGTAGATCTTTCACACGGGCGCGGTACACGAAGGAGACCTGTAGAAGCAGCAATCGGATGCGAACGGAACCGATACGAACGCTGAGACGGGATTTCTGATTTGATTCCACGGTGTGTGAGGTGTGTGAAAATGTGAATATTCGACTGAAGCCTTCCGAAGGTGAGTTTTTGAGGTGTGTGGGTGTTTGTGTGTGTCTCAAGGCGCCAATTCCTAAAGCCCTTGCTCCAAGCCCTGAGCCCTTGAACTTCCAAACTCCCAAAGCGGCAAGCAGCCGGCTTCATGAGCCTTCAGATAGCATGCTTTCGCATGTTCTTGCACCTTAGAATATATTCTGGTCTCGTACACCATACCATCGTATACTGTAGTACATTATAGTATATCACAGTGTATGATAATCAAAATAACAGATTGTTTTATATTGTAGTCTATAATTGTAGCTCGCCTCTGAGCAGCCATCAGGTAGGGTCTGAAAGTTGGGGTTTGGTACGGGTGTATAGGTCTATACGGGCCCCGAAAAACTATCGGTGTGTGTATGCTTCGGGTGTTTTCATAGAAAGGGCCCTACGACCATCGCATCGCCCTAAAGAACGGCGGTTGCAAATGGGACTCTCCGTGTTGCGCTTTCGTGCTCTTCTCCCGCGTGGCCGCTACTCCAAGCCTCAACACCCCCGTATATGCCCTAACTTACGGCGCTCCAAACACTGAAAACCCAATTACCCCAAACCCTCATAGAAACCTTGCAAAGATCACTCCCTTACAGAAACCCTCTTGGCAGCATATATCTACCTTTATGGCAACCCTTGTGGCAACCCTTCTTGAAAGCCTCGTATTAAAACCTTTGATAGTAACTGTTAAAGGAACCGGACAGCCTTCCGAGCCCGTCTCAGGTCCATAGTGCCTGTCAAGGGATCCGTGCCCAAGGCACGCTACAGGACATCGGCCGTGGCGTGCCCTGGACCGGCTTTCAGTTTAGGGCATTGGGTTCAGGGTGAAAAAGAGAGAAAGCGTCTGAACCCCCCCGGACTAATGGGGAGGTTAGAAGATGAAGTCTACCTTGCAAAGGGGCCGATTTTTGAAGATCCCCGCATCAAGGGTCCATACTAGTTAGAATCCTGCATTTGCTGAAGCTCACAAAGAAAAGAATTTTTATGACAAGCAGAAGCAGTGGGTCTTGCCTCCAAGTCGGTGAAGCAGAGGGGACCCTCTAGGTGTGCAGCTGTGAAGTCGAGCGGTTCAGAGTTGTAGAGGCACGCTGTTTACTTTGTTTTGAAAACATCGATTCCATCCACACATCTTGGCTGAAATCGGTGTCGGAATTTGATGGGGCTTAGAGAGACGTCTTCATGATGGGTCTTGCTATTTGTGATGACCTCCCGATACTCCAACTCCAGCCGAGCCTCATGTTTTCATGTCGTTGCAGCAATGCTTTTAAACTGGTGTTCACAGACAGCCTGCGAGGTACAAGAACCGTATGCTCGTGGTCGGTGGGCATGATGGTGCCAAGCACTTGAACGATTTCTATCAGCTTCTTGGCGACTGGCCTAAGCAAAACCCAAAGCTTAGCGTCGAGTCTCGGACATAGGGTCTATTATAGAACTTATTCTGAGTCTGTGAGTTTGGTGAAGCCAGCCGAGGTTCAACTTCGACACACTGGAGTGGTGGTCCTCAGGGGCCCAAAGAGGGATTTACATGGACACGGCTTGCAAACATCCTGGAAGGCCTGAGCATCGCTAGGAAACTCTGCACCCGCAGAATTTGACTTCGGCAGCCTGGAGACTACTATTACTACCGTCATATTACTACCATCATATTACTACCATCATACTACTACCATCATATTACTACCATCATACTACTACCATCATATTACTACCATGCAATTACCATATAACTACCATATAATTACTATTATTACCATTCTTCAGTCGAGGTCTCAGACGGGGCTTGTTCTGATCCCGTTTCTGCTCGAGGACCAGCACCCAAGCTGCACACCTGGCAGCTGATGCCTTCAAAGAAAAGGGGCCTTATATATTCAAAACCAGAGATTTACCGCGTGACTGGAGACGCATAAGATCACAAGAGCTACTGTAGAAGTCAGCAGAAAGGAGTCAGCAAAGATGCGAAAAGATGACACGTGGGCAAGCACAAAGTCCTCAGCCCTAATAAATCGCCAAATCACAAGAGCGGAAACCCCGGAACCCTACATGTAATCCGTTCCGGAAAACCTGCAATGGAGCTTGTTCCGGAGTTCTTGAGAATTAGCAGTATTCTTCAGGGTTCTCTATGGTAACTATTGAGCTGTGGTATTAAATACCCCGAAACCCACCTTCTAGCACCATATTCCTTCATGGTGGCCCCGAAAAAAGGAGCCCCATTAAAGAAACCCCTTAAAGGGAGCCCTTAAATTAAATCGAAGCGCTGCCATGGCCGTCCGACTCCGGCCTGGGACGCAGCCTCTGGCGCTCAGCTTCTCCTCCTCGGCACTGCTCTTCGTGTATCAGGCGAGAGGAGGAGGGAGGGGAGGGGAGGGGAGGGTTTCTCGGGGGTGTGTTTTTGGGAGTTTTGTGGGAGTTTGCCGGACTGTTGGTTGTTTTTTTTTTTTTTGGGGGGGGGGGGGGTTTTGCAGGCTTCCTGGGGTCGAAGGGGCTGCTGTCTTTGGGCTTAGAATCGTGTGACACAGCTGAAGGGTGTATGCTAGCTGCACAGGTTTGCCGCTTCAGACGAGGGCACCTCGGTTTGAAAGTTATTGTCGCATTTCTGGAGCGCCGCTTCGTAGATCGCTCCGTCGGACACACCCCTTCCTGTTCGGGGTTTCGGAAAATAAGGGACCCTAGATAGTAGGATCCTGATTATATGGACCCCAAAAAAAGGTACCCCTGATTTTCGGAAACTCCCAATTCGTTACACGCTTTCTGCGGCACTGTCTGCTCTGAGTATGAATTATGGCCAGGCCGGTGTGGCCGAGGGCCTTCTTTCCTGCCAGCGCTTTCAAAGCGATGTGGCGGCCGTGCACGGTGCGGGGTCCCGGGCAGATATTTCTGTGTGGAAACTAATGATTAGTATTACATTACAAGCCCTACATCAAGTGGCTGTCTTTGCACCTAGGCGGTCTCCAGACATGCAATCAAGCTAATTTCCGTCTGCTAACAAATTGGAAGACAAGTGCATGTGTATTAAGATATTAGAATCATGCATACATATCTACCATTACATACATGCATACAACATAGGCGGCATGAGCAGGAAGAAGGGCTATGCACACATTGATCGTGCAAATCCGCGTGCCTGTTTCCTGCACTAGGCAAAAGACCACAGCGGTGCAAGTTTGCTGTAAGCGCTGCGTGTGCTGGTGAGAGAGCAGTGGATGGAATCGAAACACCCCCTGCAGCAATCCAACGGCTCGAAAGACCGTTGCAAAGCGTGGTTCACGGCGCAAACGGAGCTCAGGTCGTAGTCCGATCCGGATACTCTCCGACCCTGCGCCCAAAGCTCCCAGGCTCCAGCGGAGGCGCGTTGGTTGCAGCGCTGTTCCTCTGCGGCCGCGAAGCCTTGACCAAGACGAAGGCGTGGTTTCCTTCAGACCTGTTTTCACCATCCGGCTCGGCTTCCAGCACGAATTCGGTTCGCGCACGTTCAATATACAGACACACACACACACATGCCTGGCAAGCAGCACGTTTTCATAGTCGTTGTAGACATAGGACCCAGGACCTCAGGAGCTGCGGGTATACGCACGGATGAGCAGCACCCCCAACCGTCTGGTGAAAGAGCAACACGGCAGATTTCTCGTCTGGCTGAACATGAAGAGTGTGATAAAGATGCTCCTGGACCTTATCTGCGAGCGGCCTTTGAAGCAGATGACGGTATCTACCGCTGGAGACAGAACATCGCAGAGGAGAAGAGGCCCGAGATCGGCGATGCCCGGAGACGCCCACCAGACCAACCCTTAAAGGTAACCCTCAAATTTTAATGGTTGGTCTTGTGGGCGCCCACCCATTGGGTGTCTGGCACCCTATGCAGCCCGTCATCGAAGAACTCAGGGCGGGAAATTCCGTCTTTGGCCGACCAAGCTGTGCGCATGGCTCAGAGCGCATCAAGTACTCGGGTCCGCCATTGAGCAGGCACTGCAAAAAGAACTTCCTCCGCGAAGAGGAAAGGGGGGAGACGGATGAGACGGACTTGCATCGTGCCGGTCACGTGCCTGTACGGTGCAGGTTCTGCAAGGGGAGGTCTACAGCAGAGGAGGCCTCGGAGAAGAGTATTACCGGGTGTAGAAGCACATCCTCAGTGGGTCCGAGGTGTCGCTCTGGGGAAACAGGATAAACGCTAAACGCCGCCATAAACCGAGCCTCTCGGATCCCATCCTCTCATGGCCCGAGTCTTGTCATGGGTGGCTTAGCGTCTTTACCTCCAAGCCATGAGACGCAGAAGGCCAACAAATTCAATCCCTCTCCCCTCCTCCACGGCCAGGCATATCTGAACTCCGGGGAGCTGTTTCAGAACATTGGCTTGGCAGAGCCTCGGGCCTCCCAGCAAAGGGCTTTAGTGGATTTCAGCATCTGCGATCCTGGGTCCTGGGGGTTGTTTCACCTCGGATGCGTGAAGACGAAGTGCGGACTATGTAATGAGAATCTTGTCACAGCGTAGAGCCGCATACCAGTAATTACTGGATGCAGTGCCAGAGTCACCAGCAAGTGGCAAACCTCGGGTGGGCTACGAGCTTGCAACTAACAGAGACGACCATCACATCACGACAGCTTGTAGATGTAGCTGCTACGGCGAATGCGCGAACCCATCAAGCTCATCGCGACACCGTGTACGCTAAAACCCGCTGCATAAAGCCTTCAGCATGTCACAAGAACATCTCAAGCATGCAGTAGTACAGAAAACAAAAGTTCCTTCCAAGGTTTTCCAGGGTTCTATAAGGATCGCCATAAGGGATACTACGAGGATCCAACATCGAAGGCACACAGCCAATCACACTTGCATGTATAGGTCAGGGTTCCGCTCTCAATTGGAACAGTCATTGAACCCTTTGACTCCTCCCCCAAAGTAAGCAAGTCCGGCGAGAGTGTGTCAACATGCTATGTGCAGTGCAATGAATTCTGGGCCCTTGTAGATTATTGATACCCTAAACCCCAAACCCCAAACCCTAAAGACCCCAAAGCCTCTGAGGATGTGTGGGATCCCGCCCGGCTGATTCCTCGGGCAGTAGAAGCTGCTCGGCTCGCTTCTCCACGGTCTTCTGTTGCCGTCGCAATCTTTGTCGTCACGCTGGTTGTTGTACCTGTGGCATTGCGTGATACCATTGGGTCGTTTTGCACTTGCTACGCTGCTGCCGGTGCTGCTGGTGGTGGTCGTGGTGTCGTGGTCGTAGCAGTAGCAGCAGCCGTAGTAAGAGTAGTACTCATTATCGTAGTCGTCGTGGTAGTTGTAGAGTTAGTTCCACTTATGCAGTGGTACCAGCATGCAATAGCAGCAGAAAGTTTTGCCATGATTTTGGAGTTTCTGCAGGTTCCCGCCATCCCCGAGTCTCGAGCCGAATCCGTAACTCCGAAGCTGAAGAGAAGTCCGGCAAGGAATCCGGCGCGCTGCCGGAAGATGCCCATGCCAGACTGTCCGGCAAGCTGCACGTGCAGTGCACGCGGGGGGGCATGATGACCTCCGCCGAGCCAGTGGCACCGATGCAATCTGAGAAGTCAGGGGTCCTGAGGTTCTTCAGACAGGCGATGTCGAGGTTTCTTCGAGCGGTTCAGCGACGAGCAGATGTCAAACGCATGCATGGATCACGCGCTGCAGAGCTCGCGCTCTCGGTGGCATGAGCGAAGCTCCATCCGAACTTTGAGGTGACCTACTCCTCTTTCGCAACGAACTCGGAGCTCCTCTCCATCCTACAGGAAGGGCACGGTGAAGCTGAGTCGCTGAGGGCAAAGGTTTCAGATCTTGCTGAGGTCGCTGAATGCAGAACTGATCGCTGAGACGTCACAGCACCAATACTGTGGGTTCCGAGCCACTGCGTGGTGTTTTGTCGAAGTCGCAGATCACCTTGAGAAGCGGAAGGTGCTATGCCGGGAGGAGCTTCGAAGAAAGCCAATCCCCTACAAGAGAACTGTCAGAAGAGTATTTTCTTGGTAGCGAGACAGCCCCCCCCCCAAACCGCCGTGACCGGCCGGTGCCGGCCGCCCCCGGCAGAGGCTTCCTCCAGCTTCGCCTTCGGAGGCGCGAAACCGCAGGGGCGCCCGGCCCCGGGGGCCCGGGGCGGGTTCTGGTGGGGGCTCTAAGAGCTGCTAAGAGCTGCTAAGAGCTCCCGGCTCCTCGGCTCTTTCTCTTGGATCTGCGTATCGGATTGTTTTGGGCTTTGGGGAGTTCTTGGCCCGAAGGCCCCCCACCCGCCGAAGCCCCCGGAAGCACCCGAGAGAGAGATCTTGGGGGGGAGGCGTGGATGTTGACGGAGAGCCGCATTGGGAGCCTCGTCTGACCAAGGCTGCAGTCTTGAGATGCTGCGGATTCCTGGGCTTCTTGGGGGTTTTTCGGGGCTTCAGCTTTGGAGGTCAGTCATCGGGCTGCTTCACGAGAGTCTAGTTCAAGGTCTGCTGTACCACGTATCAGCCAGGCACATCGACGACGTCCATGAAAGAGCTTGCAGAGTAACATCCACCACAGGCGAGCATACCGTGGGGAACATTGAGCAGAGTTGGTTTTCACAGGAACAGCTGTCACCACCGCGACACGGCCACGGCAGATGTTCAGTCTATGTACACGACCAGGGAACCCGAGTCAGAGTTGTTTCAAGTTTGCGCCCTTCCCTTTGTTCCCGGAGCTCCCCCTTCCCGGCCCCCTGAACCGACGACGACTTTCTAGGCACCCTCAAACCTTCGGGTTTTCCAAGGCCTCGGCACTGAATGCTCAGGATGGCGGCATCACGGACGTCCTTCCGGTGTCTGCAGACTTCCCGACGATAACAGTCGCACCAGTGCCCGTTCTGCATTTCTGTCAGCAGCATTTGAGGTTGGTTGAAGATGTAGCGCAGCACTCTACCAAAATGGACATCATTGTGGGGGACATGACACTGTGTTTTGTCATTGTCCTATAGCCTGAGCCAGGCAACCGTGTTCCGTGAGCGGCACCGGTCCCCGCGTCACAAGCCGCTACGTCACAAGTTTGAAGAATCTCAAATACTCGGTGGCCGGCACTTGCATGCAGTCCCGCTTCATTGTCGGCAGTGGTAGTCGCGAGGGAAGCTTTACGCTACATGTCACATCGAGGATCCTGACATGATGGGTCTGCTTTGTGGCCCCTTCTGTCCTGAAACTCCCGGATCATAAACAACAGGATCCTGGATCTGAAACATCTCAAACCCTGGAAGCTGAGCGGAGAGCGGAGCTTGCTCAGGTGAGCGCAAAGGCCGTTCACATCTGCCCCGATGCAGGCCGTGCTTCAGGGCTTCTGCTTCGGATTCCAAAAGTTTGCTCGAGAAGCTTCGGGTCTCGGATTCGTGCGGATGATCTTGTCGAACTCCCATCTCCTCCATCTCCCCCTCCTCCTCCTCCTCGTCTCTGTTGCTGCTAGGACTACTGACCACCTCGACGGTTCGATGCAAAAGTCTGGGAGTCCGGTGTCCAGGCTCCTGGGTGCTGCCCTGCACCGTCGGAGCCCGGGGCTGGCGCCTCGGTGCCCGGTCGGCCCGCGCGGCCTGGGCCCCTCGGCCTTTGCCGAAAGAAGGGCTCAGGGGCCTTTGGCTGCTACGAACCGTAGCAGCTTTAGCATGCATGTCAGCAGGGTCCGGAATTCTTGGGATTTGGAGTATCCGATGTGGAAGGGGATGTTCTGTGTAGAGACTGCTGTTGTGCAGCCATGCGGTTTCGCCACGCTTGAGCCAGAACACTGGCTAGGAATGCCGTCGCCATGTGTATGACCCGAGGAAGCTTCAAGGCCCCAAAACCCGACACCGTTTGCGCTTGGCCGCCTCGAGCTGGAACTGGAATCCCGACAGTCCCGTCGTCGAAGGTTTCGTTTCTTTTCGCAAAGCTCCCCCTCCCTTGCTGATTCAGGATTGTACCTTCATGTTCTCGTCGGCACGGATGATGAAGTACTGGGCTGCTGGCGAAGCGGATGCCCAGGTCGCTGTGACTGCTAGGGCTACTTGCAGTTCTAGTAGTACTGCTGCTGCTGCTGCTGCTGCTGCTGCTTTTCCTCTTTCTCCTGCTTTTGCTGCTGCTGCAAATCCCTAGCCAGCCACCGTTTGTATTCGCATTCTCACACAAGAATCTGCAAGAACTCCCGGACCGAACAGGGACATCCGACCCAGCCATCGGAACAGGCCTTCCTCCAGAGGAGTGGCTATGCTGAGCCACTGGAGCTGCCGACGTGCAAATGAGCTCTGCTTTGGAGTGTGCCAAAGTTTCTCCCAGGGCTTGTGATCTTGCAGTTAACGAGCGTCCCTTGGCGTGTGTGTTCACGCAGTTTTCTGGCCTTCCAGGGCCACCTATCAAAGCATGGGCCAGTGAGGGCAGCTGCTCCTCCGATACGACTTAGCTGCTGCGTGGACCACCGTGGCGTAGTGGCCTCGTATGGAAGCGGCAGAGGTAGTCGTCAGACCGGTCTGCAAGTGCCACGAAAACAGCTCGAGCTTAAGTGTCCTATTTGGCCCTCGTGCCTCTGGTGATAAATAAGGTAACTATACGTGTAATTGGATATAACCCCAGTTAGGGTACTTATAACTGTACTTACTAAGTCCCATGACCCTTCAAGTACCCAAGCTGCCGAGGTGGAGCATGGTGGAAACCACAGGGCAGGTGCCTCCACCGTCGCCGCGAGACTCCCATTCGGCCCCTTTGGCTGCAAAATAAAGAGCCCATAGAGCCCATTTATTTGCAGCCCTTATAGCCTTTTAGTAACCCATTATAGACTTATTGCAACCCATGTATACCAAAATTCCCATAAGAACCCTTCGGCCCGCTGGCTGCAAAAATTCCATTGCCATCCGCAGCCCAACCCACAGAAAGTCGTAAGGCTGCGAGGCTTTTTTCAGTTTGTTGGCCAATTCATCGAACCCTTTGCCGAAGCACACGAGAAGCAAAGCCAAAGCCGAATCGCATGCAGAGTCTGCTGGTACCACCACTACAACCTCAGCTGCTGCAACTGAGAGTGCCATGTTGAGATCATTGAAACATGCGTTCTCATAGTAGTCGTCATCGCTTCGCAGAAACTTGAGTAATAAGTCTAGTTCTTCCTCCTGGTAGTCCTCGTGTTCGTGGTCGTTCCTGATCATGCGGTTGGGAAGGCTCCATGAGCGAACCCGCACCATGCATCATAGTGCTCCGCTGAATGTCGTAACTATGGTCTACATCATGTTTGGTGGACCACAGCTGTCATTAGCTTCGAAGTCTGCGGCGATAGTGACAACAGTTGAGAGGCAGTCATTTGCGGCGACTCCATGTACCTCTTCGGAGGTAGCACTGGCAGCGCGCGGAACGATTTGTGCCCTGCGGAATTAGCCACTTTGAGGTCTTGAAGCACTGCACTGGGCTCCTGGACAGTGCCTGGCGACGCAGATGACGACTTTAAAGTCCGGTCAAAGCTCATGATCATGATGATGATGATGATGATGGCGATGATGAGCTCATGCAGGCTTGCGGTGCCCTGATGTCGTTTGGTGATCACGAAGACTAGCGAGCAAAACGCATCCCCTGCACCCTGAGTGGATCAGCTTTTTTGGTTTTGGATGCTCGGAAGCATGCCGGAGATTGTCGAACTGCCCATCCTAAACTCAAAGCTCCGAAATCGGTGGAGGTACGCCTTCAGTTTCGAGACAGACCAGTGGACAGAGGCCTGTTTCGAGGGTGATCGTCTCGCTCGCTGCCCTTCTTTCGGCATCTCAGAAGTCCCCGAAAAGACCCCGACGAAGTCTCGACGAGCCCGGGCCTGCACAGCGTTCCGCTTTGCGTTTAGCGGACGAGTCGGCGCACGTAGGAGCGGGGGCCCTCAGAAGTCGAGTCTGCAGGTGCGGACGACGCCTGGTGCCACCCAGAAGAGCAATGTCCCCTGCCCTAGCCGCCGCCCGAGTTGAGGGTCCTCCTCATGATCCTCATGGTACAACGCCTAGTAGTAGTCATAGTACCTTATGATAGGAATATTCAATAGTCATAATACCTCCGGGCCTTCAGGTTTGAGCTTGAGGCATTCAGGGCACAGGGTCGCCGAGCCACCGCCTTGCGGAAGGCTCGACGAAGAGATGACTCCCACGCCTTGAGGTCCTAAGGTTTAGGCCTGTAGAGTTTTGGGAGTTCGATTTAGGGTTGCAGCTTCCACCGAGGTCGATGCCTTGTGGTCGAATTGGGGGCGGGGGCGGGGGGTGGTGGTGGTGGTGGCTGTCTTCAAGCACAAAACACGCAAGCTTTGTTCAGGATTCTGCCACACCTGTGACGTGTCAGGGCCTCGGTGTTTCCAACGCAGTGAGCAATGCAGAACTTGGGGGCCTTCTTTGTTGTGTACTAGATGGATTTGCGGTGGCGTGCCGTGATTGGTTCCTGGAGGAGTGCAAGTGCAAGTCCGATCGTGATGAGACTCACTCACGATCCGATTTTCTTAGCAACGCCTGAATCGCATGTTCAGAGGCTTCGAGAATAAGGAGGTCATTGAGCAGCTCGTTCCCCAACAGCCTGTTGTTTGGAAAAGCCGTCCTTTGCGAAGTATTTTGAGGGGTCGCACTCTGAAGCTCCCGCTGCTCTTCTGCGCTTTGAAGCCGAGGTACAACAATTCGCTTTACGTCTTCGGTGGCTACGACGGCCAGCAGCGGCTCAACGATTTCTGGCAGCCGGGAGCTCGGAAGTTGCGGGCCCAAGGCAGCTCAGGGCCTAGAGGGCCTGGAGGGCTCGCATGGAGCTGCCCTTTGTGTTGGGGGAGTCCTTGTGATGGGGATCTGGGGGTTTCCCAAAATAGGGGCCCCTAACAAAGCACCCTAAATAGTAGGATCCTCATTACAAGGACCGCAAAGAAAGGTAACCCCAAATTTCGGAAACTCCCCATCTGGATCCAATTTTTTTTCGGGCCGTGAAGAGAATGCGAGAGCTGCCGCTTCGGACTGTCTGCGCTTCTTTGTTGCCGGATCTGTTGAACTGCAGGTTTAGCGAAATTTTTGAGAACATGCTACGTGCGAAACCTGAAGCCTAAAGCAGAAAACCCTCCTCCCAAAGCTCAGAAGACCCCCCGTCGCATCGCCACCTGAGGTTCAAGCTTGCCACAGAAGTCAATATTGACATTCCCAGCAGCTCCCTAGTGCCGGCCTCGACCAATTTCTTTGGAGTGTCCTCGCTTCTTCAAGTACAGTGACACTCAGACTTAAACGAAGCATAGGCACGGAAAGCGGCGGGCTTTCTAACTTGTGATCGCGGACGATCGCTAGCGCTAGCGCACTAGACAAGCCAAGTCGAGGTTTCTGACCTGCGCGAGTTCCTCAACGATGCGAAGCTGCCTGCTCCTCATTCTCGAGAGGTGTGGGCTGTTCGGGTCTCGCGGCCAGGCTTATTAAAGACTGGGCCAATGGGCCTCTGGTAGATAAAATTGTGTCCGGGTAGTTTTTGCGATCTTTCTTCCCGGACTCTGTTTCGGCTTTAGGGGGTTGAGGTTCAGAGGTCTGGTGTCCAAGAGCATTCACGGTTGTCTCTGGGGCATGTTGCAGTTTGCGCGATTTGCTTTCTCCTGCCGGAACCCTGAACTCGAATCGGAGTCTAATCGCCAACGCCAAATACACTCAGAAGTGTGAAGGATAAGTAGAAGTCGAGTACGCAAAACGGATGTGCAGCAAGGTCTGATGTCACTTTCATCGTGGAGGGAAAGCCAGTCGTGCCGGCACTTTACATCGGAAAGATTCAAAGAGGTTGAGTTGCTTTCTAAAGCGGCTTGCTTCGAAGACCGACGGATCCCTCAAGCCGAAAGGTAAGTGTGGGATTGCTGCTCGGTTTGACATCCGAGCATCTTTACCTTTCCCTTCTAGAGCCCTTTGAATGAAAATATCTCTTGGGATCCTGTTTCAGACCTCGGGCTCGGCAGGATCCAACAGAGCTGCCTGGAGGGTTCAGGATCCATTGAATGGTATATGAATGATTGAAGAAATAGGGGTATGATTCCTTTAGGGTTGCTGATGATGATGTTGCTCCTATTGTCCTAGTTCGGTTTCCGAAGGCCCGATGCATAATGGCTGGCGTCTTGCAGCACCATGTGGAATGTGGGCCTGTGGGCAGAGTCGGAAGGCCTAGACTTGCTACCTGCCTTAGACTTCCTTGTCACGCTCCTAGCACAACATCCCCAAAAGGCTCTCATGTTCATCCTGCACTCCAGTCCCGAATGCCCAAGAGCCCACGCCCGCCAGGTGTATGCACACAAGCTGCTCTGCATGCGATGTTCGTACTTCCGGGCCATGTTCGAGGGGCAGATGCGTGAGGCCCCGAAACCTGAGGACTCAGAATATGCCATAAGATATAGTAGGATCCCTAATATGGTTTGAGGTGAATTCCTTAATCGAGCAGACCAGTTCGGCATTGGGTGGTTGGGGTGGGGTGGGAAGTGGCGGTCCACACAGAACCTGGCAGGCACAGCAGAAGACCATCACCATCAACAATGTCTCGCATCGGGTGTTCCTTGCCTTGCTGGAGTGCCCTCGTCACGAGGACATGCAGAAAAAGGAATTCATTGTCGAGTGTTGTGGTTTCTGCACTCCTTTGTCATGCATGCTCTTGAGGTTCTTTCAGAGGTTGAGGTTAGGTGCTATGGTCTTGAGCATTTTCCAACCCAGTTGTAGTTAAAGACACGCGTGGAAAGAGTCGTAACAGTAACCCAGCACCTGAACCTCCTAGTGGCCTCCCGGATTGGGCAGGGCACATAATGGCATGTGGGTCATGGCTATCGCATCCAGTCTGGCAGCATCACTAGAAAAAATACGCCATTCCCCAATACCTGAAACGCCAGGCTCCCCCGTGCCTGAGCGATCTGGACTCAGCCTGAACATCGCGAAAGTCTTGAGCACGAGAATTCCACGTCGGAGTTTGAGAATGGAGACCCAAAATTTCGGATCCCAAGGAAGACAACAAGCCTGAAGGCTCCAAACACTCTGCCCACAGGTATTTGTACACAGATGAATTCGAAATTTCCATGGACATCGCCGGGGCCTGGACCTGCGTTTTGTGCTTTCGTTAAGTGGTAGTGTCTGTTTTTGGGACAGAGTTCCCCAAACCCTTAAACCCCTACCGTGACAGCAGGAGCAACCTCGATTTGGTAGTGAACGTAGGATGGCCGCATGCCTTTCTTAGAGAATCGTCGAACAAGGACATTGAAAAGCATTCCACATTGTAATTGCTTGCTGTGCATGGGCTTCTGCGGGACTGCGTCTGCTTGGACGTGGTTTGTTAGCACGCACCCGCAATTGTATAGACATGCGCGGAAGCATGTCACGTGGCCTCCCGTGCATTGGGGCCGAGGCGATGGACCTCTTCGTGGCGGCGGACCAGTTTGGTATTGATCGGCTGAAGAGGCCGGGACCAAGAGTCGATCCTGGTTTGTTCTTAACAAAGGGGGCCGAAAGATAACTTCCAACAGTATTTTGGGGGGTTCCTTATTATACTTACAGTATAATGCGCCCCAATGTGCCCCAAAGCCTTATTCTAATTATGAAGGCCCGTAAGACAGCTAATCCTCCTTGGAATGAAGCTTCATCATTGGAGTCGATCCTGGAGCCAGGCTTCACATACCAGACACGCTATATTCCTAGGTTACAAAGATCCCTAAAAAGGGGACCCCTTCTTAACCCTCTTCTGGCTCCCTTAAAAGGTCCACCTTTTTAAGAGGGTCTACATCCCGAAGGGTCCCCCTAGTCCTCACTCCTACATATTGTGATATGTGGTATCCTCTATTCTATAATGTGGCTGTACATGTCATATACCATATGCTGTGTACCGCATAGACTCGACCTGTTGCCCAGGAAGCCTACGTTTTGAAGGAGCTAAATCTAGAAGCCATACAAAGGAGTGCTAAAGAAGGTAGGCTTTTTCGACTGCAGGTGCTTTCGGCCATGTACTACTTGCTTGCATATGCTATATACTTTAGGCCGTATGCCGTATACTGTGACCATGTGCCGTTTCCGATATACTATTTGCTGTATAGCATATACACAGCATACTATACGATGCTATGCTATACTATATCATGCTGCATTAGACTAGCCTACACTATACTGTACTAACTTGACCATACTTTATTACAGACAAGTAAGCAGTACAAAGTGCGGTATTGTATTGTACTGTCACATTATCACTATGCTACACTAGGTTGTGCAATACTATACTATACCATACTGTCCTTTACTTGGTTATATTGTAGTATGCTATACTATATTAGATCTTGTTCGATCGTGTTCTGGAATTGAATTAGCAGGTCGCGCTTGCGAGGTGCGATACTGAAAAAGCTAGAGTACGGTGCAGCATATAGGTATACTCAGCCATCCATCCATAGATGCATCCATGCATGCATGGATACCTGTGCGCAGACCTTCATCCATCCATCAATCCATCGGTTTATACATACATGCATGCGTGCTTGCATGCAAGCGGGTTGATGTGCACACCAAAAGCACCAGGGGCATACAACAAACTATGCATGCACGCATTCATGGCGCGCGTGCGTGTTCATGTACATATCTTCAGAGCACGAATCCCAACCAAGCTGGTTTTGAGGGAATCCAATGCCCGACTTTTCTGATATGGTCATCTTGTGCGGTGGCAGCAAGCTGGGACCTTGCATGCGCCCTTTTGGATTGGAGGAGCCCTGCAACATGCAGGATAGCAATCAGGAGATGTCGTAGTTCTCTCGTCGAGACGTACAGCTTCGTGTGCATCTCGCGCTTCCTCAGGTTGTGCGAGAAGAAAATTCTCGTTTCAATCAACATCGATAGCGCGGCTACGATCCTCCAGGCGCTTTTGCTGCTTTGTTGCCTTCCTGAGAACCTGGGAGGGCTGAACCAAGAGCTCTGGTTTGAGGTTTGATACAGGTGCTGACTGCAGGCTACGATGATGAGTAATATTCTCTGGGCTCTATATACAGGGCCGCAGTCGTCAGACACGTCGCGGTAGCGGGACAGCAAATCTTTAGCAATTTTTCGGGCTCTCGCAACAGCTGTTAACCTAACCGCCGGGGCCCAAGCCTTACCCCCTGGATGCCGAAGAGGATATGCCATACCTCACATGGCTTCTGTCTCTCATGTCTTGAATCAATTCATCATTGTTATGTAGACTGCATTTCGGCGCAACCCCTGATAGTACGAACGTCCCCAAGTTTTCCAACTTCTTAACAAGATGAACAAGTTCTGAAAGCAACGGACTTCACCTACGTGTCCCTCCTGACCCGATGCGTAGAGATCGAACTCAGGAATGGGGAACGTGGTAGGCATGGTGTGGTAGTCAGTCCAAGTGAACTGACACAGCTGTCTTTGAGCTTGAGGCTTCAGCCAGAAACGTGACTCCGGTTAATTGGCTTGTTGCGCTGGGAAGAAGCCACGAGTATGGCCTGTTCCGGCCAGGCTGCAAACATGCACATTGCAAACGACTTGCGGCAGAGCTGCATGGACCCCAGAGAAGCGGAGGTGACAGGTTTCGGTCAATTATCCCGTGAACATCTGTCATCGTTCGTCCTGAAATACCAAGCCACTCAAGGTAAAGCCAGTGTCCTAATGTCGCAAAAGCTGCCAACACCGTCTTGCACGCCAGAAACTTGCCCAAGCTTCAACGCAGTTCAGTCGTATGATCACGAGAGCACCTACCAATGTGGCGTGGCCGTGCGTTTCACAGGGTTTGCAGATCACAGGGACTGCTTCGCCCCATGGAGCTTCAAAAGACCAGCGTGGGGTAGATCCTTGCGACTGGCCCAAGAATCCATGAGTGCAATTTCGCCGAGGCATGGATTTCATTTTGAGGAACTTCGACGCTGTTTCCAAGACTCTCGCGTTCGAGGACACTGCCTTCTTCCTGAAGCTAGAGATCACATAGAAGCCCTTTATAGATCCCTCATATGGAGCCCGTATAGAAAACCCTTCTAGATTCCTATAGAATCCAAAGAACGCTTGATGTTGGTCTCATTGACGAATCTCATCTCTCCTCGTCCACCAAAAGCACATCACACAGAGCCTCCCCCAACTCCCTAAACCCTCAACTCCTGAGGGTTCTGTACGGAGCTCGGGAAGTGACCAGAAGCTTCGTCGTCCGGTGGTCGTGATGTCGGTACGAGTGAAGGCAGTGTGGGTGACTCTTGGCCGTATCTGCTTGAAGTCGCCCAGTTTTCCGTGTATGCCTCATGCGAGGTGGGCAACAGACCTGCAAACTCATGCGGAGACGGGGCCACTACACATAAACAACACCCTCAACCGTAAGTGCAGTAGGACGAAGATTTGACCTACTTGCGGTTTCCCAGAATGAAGGCACCCACTCTCCCATAGAATCCTAACAAACAGGACCCACTTAAATATTTTAGCACTATACTTTCTAACTGGGGTACAAATATTCCGCCAGCCAGGACAGGAAAATTTGAGATCTACTTGCGGCTTCATAGAACGGAAGCCCCCATTCCTCCGTAGAATCTTAACAAACAGGATGCACCGGGTACTCCTCGAAAATTTTGACGTAGTATAATTTAAAGTCGGTATAAAACTCTCCGTTAACCATGTGAGGAGATGGGCCGATCCAATGTGGAGCTCGTTTTCGAAATCTTGAAGCGCCGATAGAGGCGCGTGCGCCAGGGGGGGGGGGGTGGGGGGGGTGTGGGGGTTAACCTTTGGGATCTGCCCCTGTGGGGCGTGTGGGCTTCGGTTTTCCGTCTGCAACCTATCGGGACATTCTCACCCTAATCACAAAAAGGAGCCCCAAGGAATGCTGCTGCTAATCATTCTGATACTGTAAGTAGACCCCAAGCCCAAAACCCGAAACCTATGAGTATATTAGGTTATTAGGATGAGAAGAAGATCCTCGCGGGGCAGTATATGTCAGGGCTTCACTTGCACAGACCTGTACCCAACGACCACCGCGACCTTTGCCCACCAGAATCAAATACCGGTAGCCACCAAAGCCGGTCCGCAGGCGCAGCGCCGTCCTTGCATCTTTGGGCTTGTTCCACAAGCAGCGCGTGCCCGAATCCTCCACTCCCCTGGGATGTTTTCAGCCCGAAGCCTCGAAGCCCAAGCCCCGAATCCCTGTCTCGCTGATGGCGTGACTGCCAAAACTTCTGAGTTGAAAAAGGAATGCGATGCGCGGTAGCGCCGACAAGCAAGGAGACAGTTGGAGAGCCGTGGCTGGACACTTTGATGTGCTTTGCAGCAGCGCTCTGCGTCAGCCGCGGCCCCGTTCCCTTGTCGTATTTGGGCTCGAGCCACCCGGTGGGGAAATTCGGGGGCGCTGAAAGCCCGAGAGCTTCGTGAGGCCGCGAGAGCGAGAGACAGGAGAGAGGCAGCCTCTGACTTGCCTTGCCACTGCTTTTTTGGAAAGCTGCGGCGAGAGCCTGCAGGCCAATAAACATTACAGTGCAACAGGCAACCATACTTCAAATCGGCTGTTCAATAGCCTTCTGAATCCTTTCCGGGTCAAGTCGAGCCTCCCCTCCCCGCCCCCGCCTCTAAGTTTCAAGGCCCCACGACCCAAAACCTCGGAGTCCTGAAGGCAAGGGTGTCGACGTGGTGAGAAATGGCCTGCGTGCCCAGAGACGGGAGCAGAGTTCAGAGCTTGACAGGTTGGCTGGGATTGTTGAATCTGACATGTCGCTACCCTTGCATGTCTCGGACACCAGAAAAATTTCTAAGAGCAGATTGACTACGAATTAGTTGCATCCGGGCTTAGGGCTAAGCACTCTGTTGCAGAGTCCCTTCTCTCGGTTTGAGCCGTCATGGCCCCAATCAGTCCGGATCCGCATGCGCCATGCACCCGTATCACGACGTTTTTCCTATCGATTTCCGCAACGAGCTCTGGAAGCACCTCGTTTCATAAGCTAGCTTGGAAACCTCTCAACGCAGGACGGCTGTAGAAATCTCTGGGGGCCGCAGGCCCTCAGCCTTCAAAGCATCGTTTTGAACCTCTTCAAGCCATCCCATATCATTACGCTAGCTTCTAGATGCCGAAAACCTTCAGATTTCAGACTTCTTTAACGGTAGTGGTCATAATGGCAGGAGGAGCAGACGGCGAAGCGGAGGAAGCTTCAGATTCGTAGAAGAATAGAAGCCTTAAGTGGGCCCTTGAAGAACCAGTTGAAGAACCCTTCAAGGATATTAAAAGGAGAACCTGTAAGAGAAGCCTTGGCGATCCTTTTGAGCACCCTGGAACCCCTGTAGTAAGACCCCTTTAACGGATCCCTTGTTAAGGAAGCCCTAAACTCTAAGCCCTGAAAACCTAAAGGATCCCTTCCTAAGGAAGCCCAAAACCGTAAATCCCACAACAAAACCGAAACACTTAAAGGATCCCTGAGAAAGGAAGCCCTAAACCCTAAATCCTAATCCCTGTAGCAAGAAGGAAAAGGGCCCTCAAAAAAAAGAAAAAAACTAATCCCTTAAGGGATGCCTTTAAAGGAACCCCAGACCGAGGCTCAGACCTCCGGCCTGGAGCCCCTGGTCGAGCAGCAGATCTCTGTGGTCACAAACGACGGCCGCGTGCGGAGCTTGGTTGCTACCCAGAGGCTCTCCGTAAGGTGATGTATGTATATCATAGGAGGCCAAAAGGGGGTTTAGCCTATGGGGGTTTAGTAGGGATTTGGGATCCCATAATACGGTTTATATTAAGGAATCCCTACCCCAAGAATCTTAAACCCCCCTGTTGGCCTCCTGGTTTTGGGGTGTATTATACTATAGCTGAAGATGATGTAATTTGGAGGCCTTATCTATTAGAATAGAGTTTTGGGGGTATATATATATATACATATACATGTGTATATATATATATATATATATATATATATATATATATATATATATATCATAAACTGATGTAATATGGAGTAATATAGAGGCCTTAATAATTAGAAGAGGGTTTTGGGGTACACTATACTACAGCTGAACCCCCAAAACAGTATAGGTAATAATTGGGCCCCTATATTACTTGTAGGGGTCTGTAACTCATGAATGATAGTGATTCCTTAAAGTGCTTGTTGAAATAGAGTGGGGTGAGTGATTAGCAGTTGATGTTTCTTTACAGTGCCTATACAGTTATACCATGAAAGCCAGTAGAGTTCGGTTTGGTGATCCTTGTGTTAGGGGGAAGCCCTTGACCCTAGTCCGCGCGTAGCCTTTCGATGTTTTAACATGGACTGTTCGAAGCGGGTCTCAGTTGAATGCTTTCGTGGCTATTGGTTCAAGCTGTTTTGGCAGGATTCGTGAGGCAGGTTTGCGCCAAGTTCTTGTGCACACAGATGCGACATCTTGCGATGAGGGGATCGGCATGTTAAAGTAGACGCACAGGCAGATGAAGGGCTTTAAGCGGTTGCGAATCTTTTGGACCTCAGCAGGCACCCGCGTTTCCGGCGGCGGATTAGCTCCAGTGCAGAACATGATGCGCATGGCCTTGAGAGACATACGTAGATGAGACTTGCCACAGCCTGAACGGGAAAGCTTCCAAGACCAAAGCCCTTGGCTTCACCTAGACAACAACAGTATCATGTATGTATATATATATATATGTATAGGCACAGCAACATGTGTAACTACATACAAATAGGTTTAGATGAATAATACAAGGCCCTCAGACTCCAGCGAACTCCCCTGGCCTCACAGCCCCCTCCCCCAGCTCTTCGTCGGCGTGCTGCGGGGTTTTGACCAGTCCTCGAACGTTGTGCTGAGCGACTGCCAGGAGAGCAGGGTTCAGCTGAAAGCTCGATACTACTATTACTATTACTATTACTATTACTATTACTATTACTATTACTATTACTATTACTATTGCTATTGCTATTGCTATTGCTATTACTATTGCTATTGCTATTGCTATTGCTATTGCTATTACTATTACTATTGCTATGA